AGCGACAAACGCCTCGGCGAGTCTGGACAAGACTGCCAGGGGCGCCGTCGGCTGGAGAAGCTACAGAGAGGATTTTCGAAACTCCAACAAGACAAACGGCAGCAATTTTCGGGACTGCAGCAGCTGACAACTGGAGATTCTGCAGCAGTGAAGTGATTTGATACTGCAGCAGCAGTCGCGACTACAAGACAACGAGAAGTTTTTCATCCGGGAATAGTACTCTCCAGGGAGTCGAGTCCCAGAACCCAATGATTCTACTCTTTTCAAGGACGTCGACGCGGGTTCACCCTGGGAGCAATACGAGTCACAATTTTTGAGAATTTGCCACCAACTACATTTCGACAGTGCAGCTGCTAACAGTTCGACGGGGTTCAGAACACTTGGTGTTTTGACTACACTCTGCGTCAGGGTGGTTGGTATTTCGTGCCCGCGCAGCTGCTCTACCTTGGGGGTCTACCCTTTTCTTCAAGGGGGGGAGAGAGAGCATTTTTCGCACTATACTTGGCAGTTCTGACAGTCTCGTCAGACTCTGACAGCACGACAGTCTCGGCTTCGGATTTACCGACTTCTGACATGCGTCAGAATTCCCGCCAACGTCGCGATCATCTATACCGTCCGCCTCACATCCGCCACATCTACGGTTTTCCAGTCATCAGGCGGATTTCCATCTCGACATTCGATCGCAATCGTCCGATCAAAATCAACGGCCGACATTCCAACCATTTCGAATTTCGTCCGGTCAACAAGTCAGCCTCAAGTCAACTCGACGGTCAACGCTTCTACACCGTCAGATCGATTTCGACCGAGATCTGCAGTTTTCACGCTACTGCAAGACTCGTCTACATATAAGGGGACCTTATCTAGAAGGTGGGAGAGTGTAATGAATATACATTTATTACTGTAGAGGCTGCTCCTAGCGAGGACAGCCCGAACTTCGCGTCAGTTTGGGTTCGGCATACATTTCGGCCCGAACCACTTTCCCGAGTCGCCCCGCACCAATCGCGACACTTCCATTCCACCCACGTCCCGAGGTCCTCGCCTAGCCCGGTTTCGATCCTATAAATGCATGTTCCTTTAGTCTATTCAGTTATTCTGTAATTCATTCTCTTTATAGAAGTCTTCCGCGCACTCTGTCTAGTAAAACTCATAACAATATCAGACTATACCGTAGTTTTATCTCGCGACCTAGGAGTACCGACTGGCTGCATCGAATGTATTCCACATTCAAATTTCTCTCTCGCCGCCTTATCGCCAACCTCATGGGTCGAAGATTTTTGGAAAGGATGCTGTCCGTGGATATTGGAAAGCTTACCGATGCGCACCACGTGTGCATCAATCAATCTGACATGAAAGTGTGTCAGGGGCACAGCTGGGTTGAGTTTGGGTGAATCCCGGATAATAAGCATTATAGTGCGAAAAAAAACAATGTCGTCTTTGTGATGCCGACTTCGCCAAAAGGAGTCTACATTCCATATTGATAGAAGGAAAAGTCACAGCAATGGTCCAAAATTTTACGGCGGATCCTTTTCCTTCGCTCCTGCTGCAGAAGTCTCCCGCGCGGAACATTCAAAAACTGCGCTTCGTGCGGCTGCTGTGGACTCCATCCCGGTGGCGAAAGTCGTCTGATCCCGATAGGCTCGAGTTACGCTTTTGTCATTTGCTCGCGAAAGCTTTTGCGGCGACCAGTGTGGCGGGCGGAGACCAGCGGAAGCCTCTGTTTTGCCTCTCCGAACGAAACCAAGTCAACCCTGCGAGCGACATTCCCAAGGCCATCCCATCCCAGTCACCTCTGCCAAGTTCCAGTCGCTTGATTCATTTCACTGATTTTCTCTAGTCAGCGTTAGCTCTGCTTATTTCCATGGCTCTCTCAGCTCGCCATGGCTGCTGTCGAAATCCCTCAGAGATGTAGCTTATTACGATTAGATCATATTCTTCAGAAGTTTTATGAGAGTACTAGCTTATCTCGATAAGTTTGTCCCAGTGAGAACTGGTAGACAGCCGTGTCAGCATATAGCGTCTGATAGCCTGAACGTTAACTGCTTGCCTCTTAGCTCATAATTGCGGTTCTTATGGTTCGTAACCTCCTAGCAACTCCACCTTTTTAGTTTTCTCGAATGTTACTTACCTTAAATTCCAGCATCTAGATTCTGATTAACTGGATTATTAACCGATATTTTTCAGCTCATCAACATGATCCCTGACGAGTCTTTCCTGATAAGGTTTCCACCGCTCTAGTTGAAGCCTATGTCGCTTCCGTTCCGTCGTAAGCTTCGTTCCGGAATAACATCAAACTACTCGCCGATGGCTGCTATGGTCGCCGATAGCCGAGCGTTGAGTCAAGCCACCTGAACCTTGCGTTATACATGAAGCAGCGCCGTCGGCGATCTAAGTTTACTACAATAAGCGGTATCAGGATTGACATACGAGCCGCTTCTGCTAGCATCTTCAGGCATCACCAGAAGCACTTCGGTCTTCTGACATCGTTTGCCAACAGGGTCGACGGTTTTCACGTCAGAACGGCGCCGTAACAAGAGAATATCGTCGTCAGCAACAAGAGAAGCACGGACGACGGAAGCTGGCAGATGTTTGCGACAGGTCGTTTTTACTGATGTCGGACTTGTTGGCGGAACACGAATCTCTGCAACGGTAGCATCTGCTAATCTCTAAAGCCAACTGTGCCTGCATATAGCGAGATACTGACAAGCGATTCACGGCGCTCTTCGAGAATGGTTGGACCAGTGAATATCAAGTATCGCGGCGACCGGCATCCGGCGACACAGTGACTCACGACGTGACAGAGACGGAAACTAGTAGTGGGTTGATACTCGGCGGAGTCCGAGCAACGGGGTGCAACGGCGTGAGCGGTGAAAGACGAGCGAACGAGCAATGATAGCGGCGATTGGCGATACGGCGAGCAGCGAATGGCGAACGGCTAGCGACGAACAGTGAGCGGCTGGCAACGTGCGGCGATCGTCGGATGTTGGCGACATACTGCATGCGACGATGTGCGGAAGATGGCGACGAGCCGCGTGCGACGTTTCCTGTGCGACGATGTGCGGACAATGACGACTTACCGCGATTGACCGTGTGCTGAAGACGGTGGCCAACCGCGTGCGACGGTGTGCGGAAGATGGCGACTTTAACGAATGCGACGTTCCGCATGCGGCACCGTGCGCATGTTGGCGACATGGCGCATGCGACGATGTGCGACAGACGGCAGGCGACGAACCGCGTGCGACGGGTGCAGATGATGGCGATTTACCGCGTGCTCCGTTCCGCGTGCCGGCGTCGTGCGGATTCTGGCGACATGGCCCATGCGACGAACCCTGTGCGACGTTTCCCGTGCGACGGTGTGCGGATGACGGCGATTTTCGACGCGCGACTGTGTGCGGAAGCTGACGACGTACCGCGCGCGACAATGTACGGAAGATGGCGACCACCTGCGTGCGACCTTCCGCGTGCGACGGTGTGCGGAGGCTGGCGACTTACCGCGTGCGACGGTGTGCGGAGGCTGGCGACTTACCGCGTGCGACGGTGTGCGGATGCTGGCGACTTACCGCGTGCGACGGTGTGCGGAGGCTGGCGACGTACCGCGTGCGACGGTGTGCGGATGCTGGCGACTTACCGCGTGCGACGGTGTGCGGATGCTGGCGACTTACCGCGTGCGACGGTGTGCGGATGCTGGCGACTTACCGCGTGCGACGGTGTGCGGATGCTGGCGACTTACCGCGTGCGACCGTGTGCGGAAGCTGGCGTCCGTCCGTGTGCGAGGGTGCGCGATGATGTGCGAATGATCAGCGTCAACACTCTGGTGAGTTAAGTCTCCTCTCCGCTCTCCCCTCTTCAATCCTCCCTCACTGTCCCCATCTGTCGTTTACTGCTGGTGTGGCACCCCTCCCCACCCATTCACTTGTGCTCACACTCTTCTCTCAGCGAGTTGCTTTCTTGATTTCGCCCGCTCTTGCTCTCTGCCGTGCTCTTTGCCCTCTTGCTCTCTGCCACTTGTTCTTGCTCTCACTACCACTCTGTCTCTGCCATTCTGTCTCTGCCTGGTTGCTCCTCGTGCAGAGCCAGCAGAGGGCCCTGCAGACCACATCTCGCCTCTCAGGGAGCAGGGGACCGCACGCAAGAGCAAGGAGGCAAGGGGAGCGCGCAAGGGGGAACGCGCAAGGGGAGCAAGGAGGCAAGGGGAGCGCGCAAGGGGGAGCGCGCAAGGGGAGCAAGGAGGCAAGGGGAGCGCACGCAAGAGCAAGGAGGCAAGGGGAGCACTCACAAGAGGAGCACGCCTGCATGCTCCTTCGACCACTCTTCAATCTGGCTAAGCTATCTCACTGAATTCACACTCTGCACGCACCACTCACTCACTCGCTCGCATTTGTGCCTTCCACTGCTTGCTTGCGCTCGCGCCCTCCTCCTCCTCTCGCCGCTCTCACGGGCGGCACCAAGGGACCCTCCCCAGGTGTGTGACAGCAGGCGACTGCCAGCGTAAGTGGTAACGTCAGGTGTGGTAAGGTACGGTACTGTCCTTGGTGCCCGCCCTGCAGCTGCCACCGCCGCCGCCGCTGCCACCGCCACTCACGCCACTCACGCACTCTCACTGCTTGCGTCTTTCCATTATTCCTTGCTTGCATGCTTTCCGTTTTTCTGTTCTCTGACTTGCTAACCCCATGCTAATCGCCTTCCCTCTCACCTCCCTTCTCTGCTCCGTGCACTTGTTCCCCTCTTCTCCTCTCCTCCTGCCAGCACACCTACAGGCCGGCAGCAGCAGCGAGCATGGAGGAGCAGTGGGAGCAGCGTGGCGAGCGGGAGAGGCGAGTGGTGGGATGACGCACGGCCTGGGCTGGCCCTGCTGACCACTGCGCTCGCCCAACCTCCCGGCAGCACCAGCGCGACCGACCGTGGCGTCTCTGAGTGGCGCTGCGGCAGCAGGGGGAGTGTGGCGGCAAGGAGAGGCGCGTGGCCGTGTGGGTGCTGCACGCAAGCAAGGGGAGCACGCCTGCATGCTCCTTCGACCCTCTTCAATCCGGCTAAGCTATCTCATTGAATTCGCACTGTGTTGTGCACGCACCACTCACTCGATCGCACTCGTGCTTTCCACTGCTTGCTTGCGCTCGCTCCCTCCTCCTCCTCTCGCCGCTCTCACGGGCGGCACCAAGGGACCCTCCCCAGGTGTGTGACAGCAGGCGACTGCCAGCGTAAGTGGTAACGTCAGGTGTGGTAAGGTACGGTACTGTCCTTGGTGCCCGCCCTGCAGCTGCCACCGCCGCCGCCGCTGCCACCGCCACTCACGCACTCACGCACTCTCACTGCTTGCATCTTTCCATTATTCCTTGCTTGCATGCTTTCCGTTTTTCTGTTCTCTGACTTGCTAACGCCATGCTAATCGCCTTCCCTCTCACCTCCCTTCTCTGCTCCGTGCACTTGTTCCCCTCTTCTCCTCTCCTCCTGCCAGCTTCCCTCTGCCTACACCCCTCTGCCAGCACACCTACAGGCCGGCAGCAGCAGCGAGCATGGAGGAGCAGTGGGAGCAGCGTGGCGAGCGGGAGAGGCGAGTGGTGGGATGACGCACGGCCTGGGCTGGCCCTGCTGACCACTGCGCTCGCCCAACCTCCCGGCAGCACCAGCGCGACCGACCGTGGCGTCTCTGAGTGGCGCTGCGGCAGCAGGGGGAGTGTGGCGGCAAGGAGAGGCGCATGGCCGTGTGGGTGCTGCACGCAAGCAAGGGGAGCACGCCTGCATGCTCCTTCGACCCTCTTCAATCCGGCTAAGCTATCTCATTGAATTCGCACTGTGTTGTGCACGCACCACTCACTCGATCGCACTCGTGCTTTCCACTGCTTGCTTGCGCTCGCTCCCTCCTCCTCCTCTCGCCGCTCTCACGGGCGGCACCAAGGGACCCTCCCCAGGTTTGTGACAGCAGGCGACTGCCAGCGTAAGTGGTAACGTCAGGTGTGGTAAGGTACGGTACTGTCCTTGGTGCCCGCCCTACAGCTGCCACCGCCGCCGCCGCTGCCACCGCCACTCACGCACTCACGCACTCTCACAGCTTGCATCTTTCCATTATTCCTTGCTTGCATGCTTTCCGTTTTTCTGTTCTCTGACTTGCTAACGCCATGCTAATCGCCTTCCCTCTCACCTCCCTTCTCTGCTCCGTGCACTTGTTCCCCTCTTCGCCTCTCCTCCTGCCAGCTTCCCTCTGCCTACACCCCTCTGCCAGCACACCTACAGGCCGGCAGCAGCAGCGAGCATGGAGGAGCAGTGGGAGCAGCGTGGCGAGCGGGAGAGGCGAGTGGTGGGATGACGCACGGCCTGGGCTGGCCCTGCTGACCACTGCCCTCGCCCAACCTCCCGGCAGAACCAGCGCGACCGACCGTGGCGTCTCTGAGTGGCGCTGCGGCAGCAAGGGGAGTGTGGCGGCAAGGAGAGGCGCGTGGCCGTGTGGGTGCTGCACGCATGCAAGGGGAGCACGCCTGCATGCTCCTTCGACCCTCTTCGATCCGGCTAAGCTATCTCACTGAATTCGCACTGTTTTGTGCACGCACCACTCACTCACTCGCTCGCGCTCGTGCCATCCGCTGCTTGCTTGCGCTCGCTCCCTCCTCCTCCTCTCGCCGCTCTCACGGGCGGCACCAAGGGACCCTCCCCAGGTGTGTGACAGCAGGCGACTGCCAGCGTAAGTGGTAACGTCAGGTGTGGTAAGGTACGGTACTGTCCTTGGTGCCCGCCCTGCAGCTGCCACCGCCGCCGCCGCTGCCACCGCCACTCACGCCACTCACGCACCCTCATTGCTTGCATTATTCGTTCTTCCTTGCTCGCATGCTTTCCGTTTTCCGTTCTGTCACTGCGTACGCCATGCTAATCGCCTTCCCTCTCACCTCCCTTCTCTGCTCCGTGCACTTGTTCCCCTCTTCTCCTCTCCTCCTGCCAGCTTCCCTCTGCCTACACCCCTCTGCCAGCACACCTACAGGCCGGCAGCAGCAGAAGGCATGGAGGAGCAGTGGGAGCAGCGTGGCGAGCGGGAGAGGCGAGTGGTGGGATGACGCACGGCCTGGGCTGGCCCTGCTGACCACTGCCCTCGCCCAACCTCCCGGCAGCACCAGCGCGACCGACCGTGGCGTCTCTGAGTGGCGCTGCGGCAGCAGGGGGAGTGTGGCGGCAAGGAGAGGCGCGTGGCCGTGTGGGTGCTGCACGCAAGCAAGGGGAGCACGCCTGCATGCTCCTTTGACCCTCTTCAATCCGGCTAAGCTATCTCATTGAATTCGCACTGTGTTGTGCACGCACCACTCACTCGATCGCACTCGTGCTTTCCACTGCTTGCTTGCGCTCGCTCCCTCCTCCTCCTCTCGCCGCTCTCACGGGCGGCACCAAGGGACCCTCCCCAGGTGTGTGACAGCAGGCGACTGCCAGCGTAAGTGGTAACATCAGGTGTGGTAAGGTACGGTACTGTCCTTGGTGCCCGCCCTGCAGCTGCCACCGCCGCCGCCGCTGCCACCGCCACTCACGCCACTCACGCACTCTCACTGCTTGCATCTTTCCATTATTCCTTGCTTGTATGCTTTCCGTTTTTCTGTTCTCTGTCTTGCTAACGCCGTTCTAATCGCCTTCCCTCTCACCTCCCTTCTCTACTCCGTGCACTTGTTCCCCTCTTCTCCTCTCCTCCTGCCAGCTTCCCTCTGCCTACACCCCTCTGCCAGCACACCTACAGGCCGGCAGCAGCAGCGAGCATGGAGGAGCAGTGGGAGCAGCGTGGCGAGCGGGAGAGGCGAGTGGTGGGATGACGCACGGCCTGGGCTGGCCCTGCTGACCACTGCCCTCGCCCAACCTCCCGGCAGCACCAGCGCGACCGACCGTGCCGTCTCTGAGTGGCGCTGCGGCAGCAGGGGGAGTGTGGCGGCAAGGAGAGGCGCATGGCCGTGTGGGTGCTGCACGCATGCAAGGGGAGCACGCCTGCATGCTCCTTCGACTCTCTTCAATCCGGCTAAGCTATCTCACTGAATTCGCACTGTGCATGCACCACTCACTCACTCGCTCGCACTCGTGCCTTCCGCTGCTTGCTTGCGCTCGCTCCCTCCTCCTCTCGCCGCTCTCACGGGCGGCACCAAGGGACCCTCCCCAGGTGTGTGACAGCAGGCGACTGCCAGCGTAAGTGGTAACGTCAGGTGTGGTAAGGTACGGTACTGTCCTTGGTGCCCGCCCTGCAGCTGCCACCGCCGCCGCCGCTGCCACCGCCACTCACGCCACTCACGCACTCTCACTGCTTGCGTCTTTCCATTATTCCTTGCTTGCATGCTTTCCGTTTTTCTGTTCTCTGACTTGCTACAGCCATGCTAATCGCCTTCCCTCTCACCTCCCTTCTCTGCTCCGTGCACTTGTTCCCCTCTTCGCCTCTCCTCCTGCCAGCTTCCCTCTGCCTACACCCCTCTGCCAGCACACCTACAGGCCGGCAGCAGCAGAAGGCATGGAGGAGCAGTGGGAGCAGCGTGGCGAGCGGGAGAGGCGAGTGGTGGGATGACGCACGGCCTGGGCTGGCCCTGCTGACCACTGCCCTCGCCCAACCTCCCGGCAGCACCAGCGCGACCGACCGTGGCGTCTCTGAGTGGCGCTGCGGCAGCAGGGGGAGTGTGGCACCAGCGGGAGAGTGACAGCTTGCAGAGAGCCACGCCATGCTTGGGCCACCTGGTGAGTTGCCCTCCACTGCTCTTCATCTTCACTACAAAGCTTGCCTCGTCCTTGTCTTGTCTCTGCAGTGTTTCATTATCTTCCTTCGTTCCTCTCCCCTTCCTCCCCCCGACCTTTTTTTGTCTCGGCAGGGAGCTTAGGCATCTGTTGTTTCACTTGCTGCTAAAAGAAGAAGGAATGAGGAAGGAGGAGGCAAGGAGACATGTTGGCAAGGAGGCAAGGAGGCATGGTGGCACGGAGGCAAGGAGCGAGTGGTTTCTTTCTTGGGCTGCTGAGTGCACTGCCATGAAACGTGACACCCTGCTATGGCAAGGAGGCTGATGCAGACGGCAGAGAGGAGGCTGCTGCACCTGGGGACGGCAGAGAGGGGGCTGCTGCACCTGTGGACGGCAGAGAGGAGGCTGCTGCACCTGTGGACGGCAGAGAGGAGGCTGCTGCACCTGTGGACGGCAGAGAGGAGGCTGCTGCACCTGTGGACGGCAGAGAGGAGGCTGCTGCACCTGTGGACGGCAGAGAGGAGGCTGCTGCACCTGGGGACAGCAGAGAGGAGGCTGCTGCACCTGTGGACGGCAGAGAGGAGGCTGCTGCACCTGGGACGGCAGAGAGGAGGCTGCTGCACCTGGGGACGGCAGAGAGGAGGCTGCTGCACCTGTGGACGGCAGAGAGGAGGCTGCTGCACCTGTGGACGGCAGAGAGGAGGCTGTTGCACCTGGGGACGGCAGAGAGGAGGCTGCTGCACCTGTGGACGGCAGAGAGGAGGCTGCTGCACCTGTGGACGGCAGAGAGGAGCCTGCTGCACCTGTGGACGGCAGAGAGGAGGCTGCTGCACCTGTGGACGGCAGAGGAGGCTGTTGCACCTGTGGACGGCAGAGAGGAGGCTGCTGCACCTGTGAACGGCAGAGGAGGCTCTGGGCTTCCCAGGTCTCCCACACTCGTGAGTTACATACCTTGCCAAACTTGCCTCACTCTTTCTTGACTTGTTTGTCCACTTTCACCCTTACTGCCCTTACCCTTGCCGCCTTTGCCGTTGCTGCCTTCACCATTACTGCTTCACCGTTTCTGCCTTGACCCTTTGTGCCCTTACAATGCATGAACAATCCTTTCGCTCACTCACCCCTCATCTCTCCTGTCCACCCGTCCCACCCATCTGCTCCCACAGGCTCTTGTGCTCGTGAGCACCGACGCAGCAAGCTGGCGGCCCCCCCCACCCCAGCAGCAGCAAGGCGGAGTGTGCCTGCCCTCCCACACCAGTAGCAGCAAGGCGGAGTGTGCCTGCCCTCCCACACCAGTAGCAGCAGAGGCGAGTGGCAGCTGGGGAGCAGTGGAGGGGGGAGGGAGTGGAGCAGAGGAAGGGGTGTGGAGGTGAGTCGACCCAGTCACTCCTGACATTCCTCTCCGTGCCCAGCCTGATCAGTTTTCCTGTTTGACACACACTTGCAAAATCTTTGGCAATATCCTTTTTCTTTCCTTTGGCTCGTGGCAGGTCGAGGGGCAGAGGAAGTATGGAAGTGGGGGAGGAGGGGAGCATGCCGCGGAAGCAGAGGCAGTGGCGAGCAGCATCAGGGGAGCAGTGGAGGGGAGCAGAGGGAGTCGACCAGAGAAAGCTGTGTGGAGGTGAGTCGAGCCCACGTGGCATTTCTCTCTGTGCCCTGCCTGACCAGTCCTGCTTTCCTGTTCCACATGAGACCATGCCATTCAATCCTTTTTCTCCTTGCTCTTCGTTCTCCTTGGCTCATGGCAGGTCGGAGCAGAGGCGGGGAGAGTAGGAGGGGAGAAGAGGGGAGCGGAGGAGGGGAGCAGGGAAGGGGAGAAGACGTGGGTAGAAGAGGAGGCGAGCAGAGGATGGCAATCAGAGGAAGGAGCGTGTGGAGGTGAGTGGAACCCACCTGGCATTCCTTGCTGCGCCATAAAAAATCTGGTGAGATCCGAGCCATCGTAGAATCCTCCTCTCCTTGGCTCCTCATAATCGAATTCTGTTCCTCTCTCCTTGACTTGTGGAGCAGAAGCAGGGGGGGTTAGCTGAAGCAGAGGAAGCAGCAGCAGAGGGGACAGCGAAGCAGAGGGGGTTAGCTGAAGCATAGGGAACAGAAGGGGAGATAAAACGCGGGGCTAAAAAGCAGAGGTTGGGAAACCTGAGCGCCCAGGTTCCCCACCCTTCAATATGTTCTACCCGCCCAGGTTTCCCACTCAGAGGGTGGGAGACCTGGGAGCATTATATGTCCCCGAGGAATATAGCCATTATCACGGCTATATTCCTTTCCTGCCATTATAACGGCAGTATTTCCTAACTACTCTCTTTTTATTCCCCTTTGGGAAATACTCTCTTCTTATTCAAGGACAGCAACTGCATGGACTCTACCCATAGGGACACTAACTGCAGGGACACTAGATACAGGGACACTAACTGCAGGGACACTAGATACAAGGACGGTAACTGCAGAGATGCTAACTTCAATATGTTCTACCCGCCCAGGTTTCCCACTCAGAGGGTGGGAGACCTGGGCGCCTATCAATGTGTTCCCGAAGAATATAGCCATTGTCATGGCTATATTTCTTTCCTGCCATTATTATGGCAGTATTTCCTTTGGCAGTATTACGCCAGAGCTAAACCTTTGCGCATATGCTCAAGTACAGGGCTCGTGCACCAAGGCACACTAACCACAGGGACAGCAACTGCAGGGCCGCTAACTACAGGGACGTTAAGTGCAGGGACTCTAACTACAGGGACGTTAAGTGCAGGGACTCTAACTACAGGGACGTTAAGTGCAGGGACTCTAACTCGAGGGACCTTCCTGCCATTATATGTCCTGGCCATTGCGTGAGAGATCAAATCTCCGAGGCACCTCCCAAGGGGTTAGGTGTGCAGAGGGAGTTAGCTGAAGCAGAGGGAGCAGAAGGGGTGATAAAATTGGGGGGCTTAAAATCAGAGGGTGGGAAACCTGAGCGCCCAGGTTTCCCACCCTTCAGTATGTTCTACCCGCCCAGGTTTCCCACTCAGAGGGTGGGAGACCTGGGTGCATAGGCACCCAGGGCACGTGCACCAAGGCACACTAACCACAGGGACAGCAACTGCAGGGCCGCTAACTACAGGGACGTTAATTGCAGGGACTCTACAGGGACCTTCCGGCCATTATATGTCCTGACCATTGCGTGGGAGATCGAATCTCCCAGGCAGTGTTTTGGAAACTACCTGGGAGCCACCCCCCAAGGGGTTAGGTGTGCAGAGGGGGTCAGCTGAAGCAGAGGGAGCAGAAGGGGTGATAAAATTGGGCGGCTTAAAAGCAGAGGGTGGGAAACCTGAGCGCCCAGGTTTCCCACCCTTCAGTATGTTCTACCCGCCCAGGTTTCCCACTCAGAGGGTGGGAGACCTGGGAGAATTACGTGTTCCCGAGGAATATAGTCATTATCACGGCTATATTCCTTTCCTGCCATTACAATGGCAGTATTTCCAAACTACTCTCTTTTTATTCACTTTGGGAACTACTCTCTTCTTATTCAAGGACAGCAACTGCAGGGACCCTAACTATAGGGACACTAACTGCACGGACACTAGATACAGGGACACTAACTGCAGGGACACTAGATACAGGGACGCTAACTGCAGGGACACTAGATACAGGGACACTAACTGCAGGGACACTAGATACAAGGACGCTAACTGCAGAGATGCTAACTTCAATATGTTCTACCCGCCCAGGTTTCCCACTCAGAGGGTGGGAGACCTGGGCGCCTATCAATGTGTTCCCGAGGAATATAGCCATTGTCATGGCTATATTTCTTTCCCGCCATTATTATGGCAGTATTTGCTTTGGCAGTATTACGCCAGAGCTGAACCTTTGCGCATATGCTCAAGTACAGGGCTCGTGCACCAAGGCACACTAACCACAGGGACAGCAACTGCAGGGACGCTAACTACAGGGACGCTAACTAGAGGGACGTTAAGTGCAGGGACTCTAACTACAGGGACGTTAAGTGCAGGGACTCTAACTCGAGGGACCTTCCTGCCATTATATGTCCTGGCCATTGCGTGGGAGATCAAATCTCCAAGACACCTCCCAAGGGGTTAGGTGTGCAGAGGGAGTTAGCTGAAGCAGAGGGAGCAGAAGGGGTGATAAAATTGGGGGGCTTAAAAGCAGAGGTTGGGAAACCTGAGCGCCCAGGTTTCCCACCCTTCAGTATGTTCTACCCGCCCAGGTTTCCCACTCAGAGGGTGGGAGACCTGGGTGCATAGGCACCCAGGGCACGTGCACCAAGGCACACTAACCACAGGGACAGCAACTGCAAGGACGCTAACTTCAGGGACGTTAATTGCAGGGACTCTACAGGGACCTTCCAGCCATTATATGTCCTGACCATTGCGTGGGAGATCGAATCTCCCAGGCAGTGTTTTGGAAACTACCTGGGAGCCACCCCCCAAGGGGTTAGGTGTGCAGAGGGGGTCAGCTGAAGCAGAGGGAGGAGAAGGGGTGATAAAATTGGGCGGCTTAAAAGCAGAGGGTGGGAAACTTGGGCGCCCAGGTTTCCCACCCTTCAATATGTTCTACCCGCCCAGGTTTCCCACTCTGAGGGTGGGAGACCTGGGCGCCCATCAATGTGTTTCCATTATCACGGCTATGGCAGTACTTCCTTTGGCAGTATATGCACAAAGTACAGGGCTCGTGCACCAAGGCACACTAACTACAGGGACAGCGACTGCAGGGACGTTAAGTGCAGGGACGATAGTTACAGGGACATAGAAACGCTAACTACAGGGTCGCTCAGTACAGGGCATGCTAACCACAGGAATGATAATTACAGGGACACTAACTACAGGGCGTGTGTTCAAGGCACGCTAAGTACAGAGGTGCTAACAACAGGGTTAAGTACAGTGCGTGTGTACCAACGCAAGCTAACTACGGGTTCCCCTTTGGGAACTACCCTTCTTTTTTCGGCCGTTGGGCCAGGTGTTACACCACCTGGTCTGAGCATGGCTTGTGGGACGCCTCAGCCCTGCTCGTGCTGCGCGGCTGCGAACGTGGACGGCAGCTACGGTGGTGGGTATTCGGTAAGCCGCTGCTCTCTGTTTTTTTATGTTTAACTAACCCCCCGTTGTTCCCATGCAGGTCCCACACGAAGGGTCCCCACCTCAGCGTGGTGTGTGGGTGTAACACTAGGGGTTAACCCCCCTAGTGGCCAAGAGGGGCCCAGAAGACCCAAGACCCTGGCGCACTTCATATGCTTATGAAGCAGAGAAGGCCAGGCCAGCTGAAGCAGAGGGGGTTAGCTGAAGCAGAGGAAGCAGCGAAGCAGATGGGATTAGCTGAAGCAGAGGGAGCAGAAGGCGTGATAATTTAGAAGGGCTAAAATGCAGAGGGTGGGAAACCTGGGCGCCCAGGTTCCCCACCCTTCCATATGTTCTAGCCGCCCAGGTTTCCCACTCAGAGGGTGGGAGACCTGAGCGCCTATCAATGTGTTCCCGAGGAATACAGCCATAATCACGGCTATATTCCTTTCCTGCTGCTAACACAACGCATGTGTTAGCACATGCACCATGGCTAACTTCACACTAACTACAGGGACCCTAGATACAGGGACACTAACTGCAGGGACACTAACTACAGGGACACTAACTACAGGGACACTAACTACAGGGACACTAACTGCAGGGACCCTAGATACAGGGACACTAACTGCAGGGACACTAACTACAGGGACACTAACTACAGGGACACTAACTACAGGGACGCTTGTTTTCCCTGGCGATGGCGACGGGCCTCCACCTCACGGCGGCAGCAGGAGTGCCGGTGAGTGCATGTTGGCCGCAGGGTGAGTGCACGAGAAACATAAGCACTCGTGCGATGCTGCAGTGCCTTCAATGCTGCATTACCTTCAAGAGGAGCCAAGAGGAGGGACAGAAATGCCCTTCACGCATGGTACGAGCTGTCGTGCTTTTCCGTGTGCTTCTCTAATCATGTGTTAGTTGTTGCCTTGGTGTGGCTGAAGATAGCAGCGCCAGGAGACTGCAGCGCCCTTCACGCATGGTACGCCGCTCTCGTGCTTTACATGTATTTGTCGTGCTTGTTTCACTTGATCCTTTTTTTCCTGTTTGTCTCTCTACCCCCCCCCTCCTCCCCCCCCTTCCATTCCCTTCAAGTCGACTCGTGGGGCGAGGAGGGCGAGGGGGCAGCGCGCGGGGGGCAGCAAGAGGCGTCCCTATGCATAATCCCCCCCTTCCATTCCCTTCAGCATGGCGGGCAGCGCGGAGACGACACGGCGGCTGGCACGGACGGAGGTGACGTGCTGCTTCATCGCTGCAGCAAGGTATCCTTCTTCCCTTGTCCGTTTCCGCATTGCCTTCTTTCAGTTTTTCGCATTACATGTATTTGTCGTGTTTGTTTCACTTGATCCTTTTTTTCCTGTTTGTCTCTCTACCCCCCCCCCCCCCCCCCTTCCATTCCCTTCAAGTCGACTCGTGGGGCGAGGAGGGCGAGGGGGCAGCGCGCGGGGGGCAGCAAGAGGCGTCCCTATGCATAATCCCCCCCTTCCATTCCCTTCAGCATGGCGGGCAGCGCGGAGACGTCACGGCGGCCGGCACGGACGGAGGTGACGTGCTGCTTCATCGCTGCAGCGAGGTATCCTTCTTCCCTTGTCCGTTTTGCTTTTTTTTTCTCAGATTTGTCTTGCTTTCTTTCTGTTTTTTGCATTGCATGTATTGGTCGTGCCTGTTTCACTTGATCGTGTGTTGTGTTTGTCTTGTGGTGTGTGTCGCTCTGCAGCTGGCAGGGTCCAAGACCGAAGACCGCCCCCGACTGCGGCATAGGTGTTGTGCGGCAGGGGTGGCTGACGGCGTTGGGTCGCCCGCGCCTGAAGCGCCCCTGTGTGTGAGTGAGTGTTGTGACGAGGGATGGGGGGACGCTCCCTGAACTCTGATGGCCTCCTCACCCCGCCTTCGCCTGGCCAGGTGTTACGCCACCTGGCTGAGCTGGGCTGTAGGACGCTGCAGCCCGGCTCGTGTCGTTTAGGGGCTGCGGTCCCACACGAAGGGTCCCCACCTCAGCGCGGTGTGTGGGTGTAACACTAGGGGTTAACCCCCCTAGTGGCCAAGAGGGGCCCAGAAGACCCAAGACCCTGGCGCCCTCTATTACCGCCCGAATGATTCCGGAATCTGGATCTATATAATTGCCTAAATAGTGATAAACCTGGTTACTTTATCAATTAGACAACTAGGTTTCAGCATGGACAATTGAAAATAGGTAGCCTAACATGCACCCGGGAAGCATATGGTGCACTGGTGCGGATAAACAGGATAGAGGACCTCTAACATTACAGTATAGGGGGACCTTTCGCATTCAGTACATTATTTCATAATGTACAGGTCCTACTGTAAATATGCTGTTGCAGTTCATCATAACTTACAGGTGCTAGGTTACAGTTCCTGATAGGATACGCAAATTGAAACAGATACAATTGACAAAGCGGCAGGTAGAGTAGTCACAAGAAAGCACCCTTGAAATGAAACTACCCATGTTTGTCGCCTTTGCTACACATCACTCGATACTACTGTCTACATTTTATCCAACGGCTCTCAAAGGCCCCCCCTTGACTGCCATACTGCGCTCATTAGTGCTCTCTACGGCCTGGCCCCGAGAGGCAAGAGAGCGAATCCCTCAACAGCATAACTCCCAACATGGGAGAGTGAGTGGGGGTGGGGTGGGGCTCCCCTAAGCAAGACTGCAGCTGCGCACCCCTCGGCCTTGATTGTTCCTCCCGACCGGCCTACGGCCGTCTTCCACCCCCTCCTCCTCCCCCTCCCCCTCCCCCTCCCCCACGCCGTGCTCCTCCCCCTCCCCCAGCACCCCCCCCTTGAGCGGCGGGGGGAGCATCGGGGCCAGCGAGGGCAGTGAAGACGTTGAGCACAAGCAGACCCCCCGCCATGATGAACACCCACTGGCAGATGCCCCGGGGGGTTATGGTTACAGAGGGGAAGTGGGGGGTTGGGGGAAAGCAGAAGAGGCATGAAGTAGCAGGGTTGAGTGAGCCACTAGCGAGCAAGGAGAAGGGGGGATGGGTGGGGAATATTGAAAGACGTTGAGCACGGACAAGGAGAAGGGGGGATGGGTGGGGAATATTGAAAGCAAGGGGGCCAATGCCTCATACTTTTTTGCCAGAACGCCTTGGGCGGCACTGAGGAAGCCATGGGTTGCCAAGTGCCATGGTCCTATCACACCCATTGCAACCCCACCCACCCATCCCAACCCCACCTCACCGCACCCCACCCCCCTGCGCCTCACATATTTCTGCCAGAACGTCTTGGGCGGCACTGGGGGCGCCATGGGGTCCTCCTCTCCGCCCACGCCCCCCCCTGCTGCCCCCCCCGCCCCCACCGCCGCTCCCCCCACTGGGGCTCTGCGCACAGGCAGGCTGCAGATGGGCAGGAAGGGAGAGGAGGCGGGGACCGGGAGGGAAGAGCAAAAGAGAGGAATGAGGTTGGAGGTGTTTATTGGTGGGGGTATGCGTGCATGCATGCATCCATGGATGTACCCATGGAGCAATGATGCAGGCATGGATGCACCCATGGAGCAATGATGCAGGCATGGATGCATTGGCATGGTGGGGGTATGCGTGCACGCATGCATGGGGCAAAGGGTGCACTGTTGGGCAATGGTGCACTGGATGGATGGAGACGTTACAGTGGAGCACTGCACGTTGAGAGGCATGCTGTTTGCAAAGATGAGAGGCATGCTGTTTGCATGGATGAGAGGCATACTGTTTGCATGGATGAGAGGCATACTGTTTGCATGGATGAGAGGCATACTGTTTTCATGGATGAGAGGCATGCTGTTACTATGGACCCATCCGCAACGGTGCAGGTGCGGATGCTGACGTATGCTGATGGAAGAGTGGGACCATGGGGACATGGATGCATGGACGCATGGGCATGGGCGCACCGTTGGGCGATGGTGCTGGCATGGATGGTGACGTCAGAGTTGAGTACGATGAGAGGCACCGCCATCACCGCCTGGTGGGTGGTGCATGGTAAGGAGCAGGATGGGATGGGATGGGATGGGATGGGATGGGATGGGATGGGATGGGATGGGATGGGATAGATGCACATCAACATGTATTCTAGAGTCCGCAAGAGGGTAAACGACAAGTGGGGAGCCGACAACGGAGTTAGACGAAAGGGGGAGATGACAACACGTGGCGGCTGGAGAGCAGCAGCAGCTGGATAAACTCTCACATCGACATCGAGAGCAGCAGTGGCGGCTGGAGAGCAGTCAGCTTGTGCTTTCACATGGGCCGATATCAGCCTGCCGCCCGCGTCCTACACAACACATGCCATGAAGGGGGGGTAGCATCGATCACAGGGAATGGGGAATGCGAGTGAAAGGTGAATGGAGAGGTGAAAGGCTGGGTAGCTCATGCTTTCATGTGGGCCCATATCAGCCTGCCACCTGCATCCTACACATGCCATGAGGAGTGATAGAAACGTGAGGAGGTTAGGAGGGGAGACTGTGGTTTAGAGTGTTGGTTAAATGCGAAGCATGGGGGAATGGCGGGTTGACTTTTGAGTCGACTCAAAAGCCAGTTTAGCCGACTAGAGCAGTGCAGATTGCACAGGAGAGCCGAGGGGTAGCGATGAGCGGCAAGGAGCCGAGGGGTAGCGATGAGCGGCAAGGAGCCGAGGGGTAGCGATGAGCGGCAAGGAGCCGAGGGGTAGCGATGAGCGGCAAGGAGCCGAGGGGTAGCGATGAGCGGCAAGGAGCCGAGGGGTAGCGATGAGCGGCAAGGAGCCGAGGGGTAGCGATGAGCGGCAAGGAGCCGAGGGGTAGCGATGAGCGGCAAGGAGCCGAGGGGTAGCGATGAGCGGCAAGGAGCCGAGGGGTAGCGATGAGCGGCAAGGAGCCGAGGGGTAGCGATGAGCGGCAAGGAGCCGAGGGGTAGCGATGAGCGGCAAGGAGCCGAGGGGTAGCGATGAGCGGCAAGGAGCCGAGGGGTAGCGATGAGCGGCAAGGAGCCGAGGGGTAGCGATGAGCGGCAAGGAGCCGAGGGGTAGCGATGAGCGGCAAGGAGCCGAGGGGTAGCGATGAGCGGCAAGGAGCCGAGGGGTAGCGATGAGCGGCAAGGAGCCGAGGGGTAGCGATGAGCGGCAAGGAGCCGAGGGGTAGCGATGAGCGGCAAGGAGCCGAGGGGTAGCGATGAGCGGCAAGGAGCCGAGGGGTAGCGATGAGCGGCAAGGAGCCGAGGGGTAGCGATGAGCGGCAAGGAGCCGAGGGGTAGCGATGAGCGGCATGGGAGCAATGGCATGGGAGCAAACTCTGAACCCGGAGGAGGTGCACTTGGGACTCACAAAGAGGAGGTGCAGCGAGTCGCGAAAGCCAGCTGCCGCAAGACAACGCTGAGAGGGGATGAGAGGGGTGACAGGGAAGGAATGAGAGGGATGCGAGTGGGTGAGTGGGATGCGGATTGAGACGGCGGGTTTGCTATGCAGTGTGAAGCAAGGGGGTTAGCACACCGTCACAATTCCACCAGCCACATCCCTCAACCTCTCCCCCACCCATGAGCCTCCTCCCAAGCGCTTTTCCATGCCTCACTGCCCCCATCGCCTCCCCTCGCGCTCCCCCATGCCTCACTGCGCGGCCCCATGCCTCACTGCGCGGCCCCATGCCTCACTGCGCGGCCCCATGCCTCACTGCGCGGCCCCATGCCTCACTGCGCGACCCCATGCCTCACTGCGCGGCCCCATGCCTCACTGCGTGGCGCCATGTCTCACTTCGTGGCCCCATGCCTCACTGCGCGACCCATGCCTTACCGCGCGGCCCCATGCGATGACGTGCCCTTGGGGCGGGGGAGCGGCGGAGAAGGGGTTGGGCGCAAGGCGCACGCGGTACTCCCAGTCCGCCGCCACCAGCGCCTTGAGCGCGCCCGCCTCGCCCGCCGTCAGCGGATGCCAGATCACCGTCGCGTCCACCCACTGCCCACGCGCGCGCAAGGGGCGGAAGAGGGGGGGACGGGGAAATGGAAGGGCCGGAGCGGATGAAAGGGCGGAGCAGGAGCGGAGCGGATGAATGAGGCGGACGGGGTGAAAAGAGCGACAATTAGGACAGAGAAGAGGTGGATCCGCGCGAGGCGCAAGGGGAGAGCGCAAGGGGAGCGAAGCGCGCAGCGTACAGTGGTGTCATCGCCATGCAAGACGCCTTGCATCATTACAAGCCCCCCCGGTAAGAAGCTGTTGCTGTCGCCGGGAACGAAGCTTCGATCCACCGCCAGCGCCGCCGGGATCGCAGTGCCCTTCCGCCTCACGCCCCGCGGGGGCGGAGTCGGCGCGAGATCCGCGCTCGATCTCGCGCCCGTGCCGCCGGGCGCGGCGGATGCATCGTGGCCGTCGAATTCGTCGTCGTCCGCGTCGTCGTCGGCGTCGCCCCACCCGTCGTGCGACGACGCTGCGATCGCGGACGCGGCGACGAGGGAGAGGAGGAACAGGAGGAGGAGTGAGGGTCTTGGGGCGCGAAGAAGCGGCATCGTGACTACCATCGCCGAGATTAAAGATCGATGGAGGCTTAGAGGCAAAAGTAACTAAATTGATATAAATTGTTGCACCTGTCACGGGGGTGTAGCTCACATGGTAGAGCGATCGCTTTGCATGCGATAGGTACGGGGATCGATACCCCGCATCTCCATTGTTGTACTGTTGTACTGTTGTACTTTTGTACTTTTGTACTTTTGTACTTTTGTACTTTTGTACTTTTGTACTTTTGTACTTTTGTACTTTTGTACTTCTTTTGTACTTTTGCACTTCTTGTGTGTCTATGGGTGGTCTGAGATATCCCAGCACGCTCTCTTACCAAATTCTGTTCCCTTACATGTTCCATCTCGCCCTGTTCTGCCTGGGTGTCACACTGTGCACCCTTGCTGCTAAGGAGTGCAATGACAAGGACTCGTGCTGTTCGGACAAGAGCAGCGAGTTTCAGTGGGGAGGAACCATGGCACAATAAGGTAAGGGCTCTTCTTGAGTGTCACACAAAGAAGTCATGGCTCGTGGTGCTACAGAGAGTCATGAGAGGAACAGCAGGTTGAGATGCGAGCGACGATAAGCATGATACCCGTGCTGCCTGCTGGGTGCCCTGTCACGAGAGGTACTCGTGTTGCTTGAGCAGGAGCAGCATGTTGAGCAGCGAGCGATGGTGAGCAGTCATGTCATGATAAGGCCTCGTGAGTCGTGCTGCTGCTAGAGCGTCACGACAAGGATTCATGTTGCTTGAGCACGAGCAGCATGTGGAGCAGCGAGCGATGGTAAACAAGCATGCCACAATAGGGGCTCGTGCTGCTAGAGTCACGTGAGGATTTCCTGGTTTTGAAGTCTCGTGACTGTTTAAGTGTCACGACAAGGATTCATGTTGCTTGAGCACGAGCAGCATGTTGAGCAGCGAGCGCATGAAGATATCCAGTGGCCCCGGCACGCAGTACATGTAGCAGTCCATGGCTCCACTCAGCTTGCGCAGATGGCCGTCCGGGCGCATCGACAGGGGCGTGTCTACGTCTAGATACACCCCACCATACTCCTGGAATGGTGAGGGGCGGAAAGAGGGCACAAGGGAAAAGGGGAAGGTGGATGCAGGGTGGGGAGGAGGGGCGTGTATTCCAGGGGCACGCAGTACATGTGGCAGTCCATGGCTCCACTCAGCTTGCACAGATGGCCATCCGGGCGCATCGACAGGAGTGTGTCTATGTCTAGATACACGCCTCCGTACTCCTGGGGGTGGGAAGAAAAGAGGGGGAAGGGAAAAGGGGAAGGTGGATGCAGAGCGGGAGAGAGGGGCGTGTTAAAGTCCAGGCACACTGCCTCGCCCACTCACCGCACCTTCACACCACCACTCTGAACCTTCCTTCACCACACCTTCACACCACCACTCTGAACCTCTCCTCACCGCACATTCACACTACCACTCTGAACCTCTCTTCACCGCACCTTCATGATGGCGCGAGCAGCAGCGTTCTGTTCAATGGCAAAGTCCCACGGCAGCGTGGCCCCGCCCTTGCCCGGTACTTCCTTGAGCGGCCCCTCAGCGCGCCCACAGTCCACATGGCCGCGCCACGTGCTGCGGAACACCACCAGCACGTCGGGAGCCAGCCGCCGCAGCAGCTGCATCGTGTCCCTTAGGGTCTCCACGTATCGCTTGGCTGTACGCGGATGGGGCAGATAGAAGGGAGGGGGGATAGAGGAAAACAAGTGCAGGGGAGACAGGGCACGGGACAGACAGATGGGGAAGTGCATTGAGAGCACAGGACAAGAGCACATGAGGCAATGCACGCGCACTGGGGCGTAGGTCGGCGCACTTGATGATAATCACCACTGACACACAGGTGGGGGTTGCATGGCATGCTGAACAGACAGAACAGACAGACCACTCGTGCGTGCAGCAGTCAAAAAGCACATGGGGGGCACATGAGGCGACACGAGCAGCGGGGGCACGTAGGAGCAACGCACACGCACTGGGCCGCAGCTCGGCTCCTTTGTTGATGATCAGTGATCACCACTGACAGGTGTATGGCACGCTGAACAGACGAACAGACAGAGCACTCATGGCAGTGGGTGGCGCATAGGGAGAGCATGGAAAGCACATGGGGAGGGCACATGGGGAGGGCACATGGGGTAACGCACACGCACTGGGCCGCAGCTCGGCTCCTTTGTTGATGATCACCACGGACGCGTTCCAAGCCAGCAGGCGCTTGATCCACCGCTTGTTGTACTTGCCGCCGCCCGGTAGGTCCGCGGACAGCAGGTTGTTGTGCACCACTCGGACGGTGAAGGTGCCGCTTGGATTCACGTCCGAGCAGAGGGTGTGGCCCTCGTCCGCACAGTCTGGCTCGCCGTCTCGCTCCCTGTGGGTGGGGTGTGCGGCGCACGGAGGGGTGTCGGGGTGGGCGGACAGCAGGTTGATTGTTCCACTGCTGCAGGCGCTTGATCCACCGCTTGTTGGTCTTGCCGCCCCCTGGCAGGTCGGAGGACAGCAGGTTGTTGTGAACCTAAGAAGGGGACGAACCTAAGAAGGGGGCGAACCTAAGAAGGGGGCGAACCTAAGAAGGGGACGAACCTAAGAAGGGGGCGAACCTAAGAAGGGGGCGAACCTAAGAAGGGGACGAACCTAAGAAGGGGGCGAACCTAAGAAGGGGACGAACCTAAGAAGGGGGCGAACCTAAGAAGGGGGCGAACCTAAGAAGTGGGCGAACCTAAGAAGGGGACGAACCTAAGAAGGGGACGAACCTAAGAAGGGGACGAACCTAAGAAGGGGACGAACCTGAGAAGGGGACGAACCTGAGAAGGGGACGAACATAAGAAGGGGACGAACCTGAGAAGGGGACGAACCTAAGAAGAGGGCGAACCTAAGAAGGGGGCGAACCTAAGAAGGGGGCGAACCTAAGAAGGGGGCGAACCTAAGAAGGGGACGAACCTGAGAAGGGGGCGAACTTAAGAAGGGGGCGAACCTAAGAAGGGGGCGAACCTGAGAAGGGGGCGAACCTGAGAAGGGGGTGAACCTGAGAAGGGGGCGAACCTGAGAAGGGGGCGAACCTAAGAAGGGGGCGAACCTAAGAAGGGGGCGAACCTAATAAGGGGGCGAACCTAATAAGGGGGCGAGCCTAAGAAGGGGGCGAACCTAAGAAGGGGGCGAACCTGAGAAGGGGGCGAACCTAAGAAGGGGGCGAACCTGAGAAGGGGGCGAACCTGAGAAGGGGGCGAACCTGAGAAGGGGGCGAACCTAAGAAGGGGGCGAACCTAAGAAGGGGGCGAACCTAATAAGGGGGCGAACCTGAGAAGGGGGAGAACCTGAGAAGGGGGCGAACCTAAGAAGGGGGCGAACCTAATAAGGGGGCGAACCTGAGAGGGGGCGAACCTAATAAGGGGGCGAACCTGAGAAGGGGGCGAACCTGAGAAGGGGGCGAACCTGAGAAGGGGGCGAACCTGTGAAGGGGGCGAACCTAAGAAGGGGGCGAACCTAATAAGGGGGCGAACCTAAGAAGGGGGCGAACCTAAGAAGGGGGCGAACCTGAGAAGGGGGCGAACCTGAGAAGGGGGCGAACCTAAGAAGGGGGCGAACCTGAGAAGGGGGCGAACCTGAGAAGGGGGCGAACCTGAGAAGGGGGCGAACCTGAGAAGGGGGCGAACCTAAGAAGGGGGCGAACCTAAGAAGGGGGCGAACCTGAGAAGGGGGCGAACCTGAGAAGGGGGCGAACCTAAGAAGGGGGCGAACCTAAGAAGGGGGCGAACCTAAGAAGAAACGAACCTAAGAAGGGGGCGAACCTGAGAAGGGGGTGAACCTGAGAAGGGGGCGAACCAAAGAAGGGGGTGAACCAGAGAAGGGGGCGAACCTAACAAGGGGGTGAACCTGAGAAGGGGGCGAACCTGAGAAGGGGGTGAACCTGAGAAGGGGGCGAGCCTGAGAAGGGGGCGAACCTGAGAAGGGGGTGAACCAGAGAAGGGGGCGAACCTGAGAAGGGGGCGAACCTAAGAAGGGGGCGAACCTGAGAAGGGGGCGAACCTGAGAAGGGGGCGAACCTGAGAAGGGGGCGAACCTAAGAAGGGGGCGAACCTAAGAAGGGGGCGAACCTGAGAAGGGGGCGAACCTAAGAAGGGGGCGAACCTAAGAAGGGGGCGAACCTGAGAAGGGGGCGAACCTGAGAAGGGGGCGAACCTGAGAAGGGGGCGAACCTAAGAAGGGGGCGAACCTAAGAAGGGGGCGAACCTAAGAAGGGGGCGAACCTGAGAAGGGGGCGAACCTGAAAAGGGGGCGAACCTAAGAAGGGGGCGACCTGACAAGGGGGCGAACCTGTGAAGGGGGCGAACCTAAGAAGGGGGCGAACCTAATAAGGGGGCGAACCTGAGAAGGGGGCGAACCTGAGAAGGGGGCGAACCTGAGAAGGGGGCGAACCTAAGAAGGGGGCGAACCTAAGAAGGGGGCGAACCTAAGAAGGGGGCGAACCTGAGAAGGGGGCGAACCTGAGAAGGGGGCGAACCTAAGAAGGGGGCGAACCTAAGAAGGGGGCGAACCTAAGAAGGGGACGAACCTGAGAAGGGGGCGAACCTAAGAAGGGGGCGAACCTAAGAAGGGGGTGAACCTGAGAAGGGGGCGAACCTGAGAAGGGGGCGAACCTAAGAAGGGGGCGAACCTGAGAAGGGGGCGAACCTGAGAAGGGGGCGAGCCTGAGAAGGGGGCGAACCTAAGAAGGGGGCGCACCTGAGAAGGGGGCGAACCTAAGAAGGGGGCGAACAAAAGAAGGGGGTGAACCTGAGAAGGGGGCGAACCTAAGAAGGGGGTGAACCAGAGAAGGGGGCGAACCTAACAAGGGGGTGAACCTGAGAAGGTGGCGAACCTGAGAAGGGGGCGAACCTGAGAAGGGGGCGAACCTGAGAAGGGGGTGAACCAGAGAAGGGGGCGAACCTGAGAAGGGGGCGAACCTAAGAAGGGGGCGAACCTGAGAAGGGGTCGAACCTGAAAAGGGGGCGAACCTAAGAAGGGGGCGAACCTGAGAAGGGGGCGAACCTGAGAAGGGGGCGAACCTAATAAGGGGGCGAACCTGAGAAGGGGGCGAACCTAAGAAGGGGGCGAACCTGAGAAGGGGGCGAACCTGAGAAGGGGGTGAACCTGATAAGGGGGCGAACCTAAGAAGGGGGCGAACCTAAGAAGGGGGCGAACCTAATAAGGGGGCGAACCTGAGAAGGGGGCGAACCTGAGAAGGGGGCGAACCTAAGAAGTGGGCGAACCTAAGAAGGGGGCGAACCTGAGAGGGGGCGAACCTAAGAAGGGGGCGAACCTGAGAAGGGGGCGAACCAAAGAAGGGGGAAAACCTGAGAAGGGGGCGAACCTGTGAAGGGGGCGAACCTAAGAAGGGGGCGAATTTAAGAAGGGGGCGAACCTAAGAAGGGGGCGAACCTGAGAAGGGGGCGAACCTGAGAAGGGGGCGAACCTAAGAATGGGGCGAACCTGAGAAGGGGGCGAACCTGAGAAGGGGGCGAACCTGAGAAGGGGGCGAACCTGAGAAGGGGGCGAACCTGAGAAGGGGGTGAACCTGAGAAGGGGGCGAACCTGAGAAGGGGGCGAACCTAAGAAGGGGGCGAACCTAAGAAGGGGGCGAACCTAAGAAGGGGGCGAACCTGAGAAGGGGGCGAACCTGAGAAGGGGGCGAACCTAAGAATGGGGCGAACCTGAGAAGGGGGCGAACCTGAGAAGGGGGCGAACCTGAGAAGGGGGCGAACCTGAGAAGGGGGCGAACCTGAGAAGGGGGCGAACCTGAGAAGGGGGTGAACCTGAGAAGGGGGCGAACCTAAGAAGGGGGCGAACCTAAGAAGGGGGCGAACCTAATAAGGGGGCGAACCTGAGAAGGGGGCGAACCTGAGAAGGGGGCGAACTTAAGAAGGGGGCGAACCTAAGAAGGGGGCGAACCTAAGAAGGGGGCGAACCTGAGAAGGGGTTGAACCTGAGAAGGGGGCGAACCTGAGAAGGGGGCGAACCTGAGAAGGGGGCGAACCTGAGAAGGGGGCGAACCTGAGAAGGGGGCGAACCTAAGAAGGGGGCGAACCTAAGAAGGGGGCGAACCTGAGAAGGGGGCGAACCTGAGAAGGGGGCGAACCTAAGAAGGGGGCGAACCTAAGAAGGGGGCGAACCTGAGAAGGGGGTGAACCTGAGAAGGGGGCGAACCTAAGAAGGGGGTGAACCAGAGAAGGGGGCGAACCTAACAAGGGGGTGAACCTGAGAAGGGGGCGAACCTGAGAAGGGGGCGAACCTCAGAAGGGGGTGAACCTGAGAAGGGGGTGAACCTAAGAAGGGGGCGAACCTCAGAAGGGGGTGAACCTGAGAAGGGGGTGAACCTAAGAAGGGGGCGAACCTAAGAAGGGGGCGAACCTAAGAAAGGGGGCGAACCTAAGAAGGGGGCGAACCTAAGAAAGGGGGCGAACCTAAGAAGGGGGTGAGCCTGAGAAGGGGGCGAACCTAAGAAGGGGGCGAACCTAAGAAGGGGGCGAACCTGAGAAGGGGGCGAACTTAAGAAGGGGGCGAACCTAAGAAGGGGGCGAACCTAAGAAGGGGGCGAACCTGAGAAGGGGTTGAACCTGAGAAGGGGGCGAACCTAAGAAGGGGGCGAACCTAAGAAGGGGGCGAACCTAAGAAGGGGGCGAACCTGAGAAGGGGGTGAACCTGAGAAGGGGGCGAACCTAAGAAGGGGGTGAACCAGAGAAGGGGGCGAACCTAACAAGGGGGTGAACCTGAGAAGGGGGCGAACCTGAGAAGGGGGTGAACCTGAGAAGGGGGCGAACCTGAGAAGGGGGCGAACCTAAGAAGGGGGCGAACCTCAGAAGGGGGTGAACCTGAGAAGGGGGTGAACCTAAGAAGGGGGCGAACCTAAGAAGGGGGCGAACCTAAGAAAGGGGGCGAACCTAAGAAGGGGGCGAACCTAAGAAGGGGGCGAACCTGAGAAGGGGGCGAACCTAAGAAGGGGGCGAACCTGAGAAGGGGGCGAACCTAAGAAGGGGGCGAACCTGAGAAGGGGGCGAACCTAAGAAGGGGGCGAACCTGAGAAGGGGGCGAACCTAAGAAGGGGGCGAACCTAAGAAGGGGGCGAACCTAAGAAGGGGGTGAACCTGAGAAGGGGGCGAACCTAAGAAGGGGGCGAACCTAAGAAGGGGGCGAACCTAGGAAGGGGGCGAACCTAAGAAGGGGGCGAACCTGAGAAGGGGGCGAACCTGAGAAGGGGGCGAACCTGAGAAGGGGGCGAACCTGAGAAGGGGGCGAACCTGAGAAGGGGGTGAACCTGAGAAGGGGGCGAACCTAAGAAGGGGGCGAACCTAAGAAGGGGGCGAACCTAAGAAGGGGGCGAACCTAAGAAGGGGG